AGTGAGAGTGAGAAAGAACCATCAATGATGAGAGAGTCATTGATTGGCTGCCTCCTGCACTCCTACACTGGGGATCAAGCCTGCAACCCGACATGTGTCCCAACCAGGATCTGAGCCCTGACCTTCTGGTTCATATGCTGACGCTTAACCATGGAGTCACGATGGCCAGGCCTGAAGCACCATTTCCTCGATTGCTTTGTTACTCTGTCCTTTGTCACTTCTGCATTGATCAAGTGTCACTGTCAGAGTAGAAAGCTCTTTCAGGCCTCTACCTTTATACCTTTCTCTTGTCCATTTACAATTAGGTAGGCAAGGCTTGTCAGATTGCCAGTGAAATTTTTCACGTTAAAGAGATGAAGTTTCCGTTGGTGGGGAGGGGTAGATATGAGTCTCTCCCTGCCAGTTTCTATTGTCTCCCTTCTGGTTATAGAGATGTGGAATTATAAACCAGAAGAAAGCCATTTAGCCCACACACGTGCTCTAAGCAAGCACTATAATTAAGTCAGATAAAACTAAAGGCAGTTGGTTGTATTAGTAAGAATTCTTTTGGTTGTAATTATAGTGACTTACTGGAGGCAGCTTTAGACAAAAAAACAAAAATAGGTGGAAGGGAGCAAAATTTACTACAATTCTAAGTGGCATCATCTATTGTATAGACACCATAAAAAATAAGGTTTGGTTACTTAACATATGTCTTTTCCATTTACCATCAAAAAGGCATCAGAAAGGTAAGAATATAAAGACTGAAAGTAAGTGAGACATGGTAAGAAATAAATTTTGGTATTTTTCTGAGTAAACAGCATATTATAATATGATTTGTATTTGACCTTCCTCCTTTAATATAAGCTTCGTCCCATGCATTTAATTGCACATTGAAAACATGACTTTATCATGGTTTCACCATGTCACACACCCACAAAAATCTGTAGTTGCCTCTGGTTGGAATTCTAAAAATAGGCACACCCTGGACCATACCCTATATAAGGAAAACCACCAGTAAACAGCCCTGCCCATGCACACAGTTTTAGTAGTTATTTTAGCCCTTTATTTTTTTAAATTTTATTTTGGTGTGGTAAGAACACTTAACATGAGACTTAACCTCTCAACAGATTTTTAGGTGTACAATACAGTATTGTTACCTGTAGGCACAATGTTGTACAGTCAATCTCTAGAGTGTACTCATCTTGTGTGTAACTGTTGATCAGTAACTCCCCTGTCATGCCTTATCCCATCCCTGGCAACCACCATCCTATTCTTTGCTCCTTTGAGTTTGTTTATTTTAGATACCTTATATAGGTGGAATCATATAGTATTTGTCCTTCTGTGACTGGCTTATTTCACTTCGTATAATGCTGTCCAGGTCCATCCATATTCACCTCCAATTTCCTGTCCCGTGTGTGTGTGTGTGTGTGTGTGTGTGTGTGTGTGTGTGTATGTGTTTTATACAAGTGTGTGAATCTGGCTGAAACATTCTGGGAACTCAGGAGATTGGGGCTCTTGAATGGGCAAGGCTGACTCTTAACTTGATCACTTATTTTTATTCAAAGTCCTTCTGGTTTATTCCTTCTGGGGTATAAACACACAGGCTTCTATCAGGATTAAGGGGAATTATCTGGGCTATGAAAAAGATCTAAGGGGTTTTCTATTAGTTGCATAGGAAGAAGGAGGTGGAAATATTTCTTAAAATACCAAGTTTAGAAAAATTGGACACAAAATGAATGCCCATCCGTAGGAATAAGGTTAAGAAAATTTTGGTACTATCATGCCAGGACACACTATAGAGCCTATAAAATCATGATTTAGACCAGTGGTTCTCAACCTTTTTAATGCCTCGACCCTTTAATATAGTTCCTCATGTTGTGGTGACCACCAACCATAAAATTATTTTCGTTGCTACTTCATAACTGTAATTTTGCTACTGTGAATGAATCGTTACGTATATATCTGTGTTTTCCGATGGTCTTAGGCTCTACAGCAGAGGTTCTCAACTTTCTAATGTCAAGACCCACAGGTTGAGAACCTCTAGCAGGGTCGCCTAAGACCATCGGAAAACACAGATGGTCTTTTATCTGAGTGGCTCACAGATACTATTGCCATGACTTAGTTTTTCAAACGAGGAAGTGGAGTGCAAGCCCTATGACACTAAGTTACCCAGTATGCTATAGCACCTGTCTCTGGCACACACTGAGGACAGTCAAAGATTACTGGGGCCTGGAGCATATAACATGAAGAATGTAAGTGAGCAAATTGAGGGGGGGGAAAAAAAAGCAGCATTTTTGTTTCATTTCTGAACTCAGAAGGAATGCTTCTATTGTATATCACCAAGTGTGAAAATGGCTGTTGGTTTAAGATTACTATAGATTTTTATCATTTTCAAGAAGTGTTCTTGTAATTCTGGTTTTTTAAAGAATTTTTATTTTTGCCGGGACTGGTTTGGCTCAGTGGTTAGTGCGTCGGCCTGGGGACTGAAAGGTCCCTGGTTCGATTCCGGTCAAGGGCATGTGCCTTGGTTGCGGGCATATCCCCAGTAGGGGATGTGCAAGAGGCAGCTGATCAATGATTCTCTCTCATCGATGTTTCTAACTCTCTATTCCTCTCTCTTCCTCTCTGAAAAATCAATAAAATATATTTTTTAAAAGAATTTTAATTTTTTAAAAATGCTTACTAAATTAAAAACTCAGAAAAGATCCATCAGATATAGTAATTTTTAGAACCATCCTCTACATTTGGTGTTTAGATGGTTTCAGTTATTTATTACTACACGTAATCTTGGCATGGATAAACTTGTTCATGAATCCAGTTAGGAAGATGTGCAATAAAGAACAAAATTTAACCACAAAAGGAACCAGGGCCCCCAAATAGAAAAAGGATGGATACCCTAGCAAGAAAACAGAAATCAGTCCTCAGTGGAGCACCCAGTCCAAGCAGCAAGTCTGAGAATGAATGGGGCTTGGGAAGGGAGCTGAGATAGGGCTTGGGGGGGCGGAGGGGAGAGGAAGAGCTTCATTATTGGGCAGTAGTAAAGTGGAAGAGAGGAAGAAAATCCCTCAGCAAGTTTGTAAAGTCACACTGGGAGCTCAAGTGCAAACCAGACATCATTTCTAATGGGTGAATAATATTCTCCAACCATTGCACTTTTTCTATGTCATCCTAACATACATGCAAAAAGGTTGAGGGTAAGAAGTTTTAGAAGATTAAGATCTTTAGATTAGTAATGCTTTACCCCAACTCCAGGTCATTTTTGGTGTTATATTTCTTGACTAACTTAAGGTGCAATCTCTCCAATTTTAGCCACTGGCCCCAAACGCTGTTATGGAAGGAGCCAGTGATGCGAGAGTTCCATAAACACGGTGGTGGCTGGAATTGGCTTACACGTAGGATCTCTGCTAGTGTGTATTAGCTAAATGGAAATTTTTATATTTAAATCTGGAGAAGTTTGGACCTTGACTCAAGAGCTTATTGACTGTGTCACAGTGTAAATATTTTTAAGTAGGGAAGGGACATAACCAGTCAACAATCTTTGTTTACCTGACTTGATTTATTACATTAAAACTGAGAAATAGACTTGAGAACTATAAACTGGAGGAAGTTTTTAAAGATGATCTTAGCCTAGAGAGGAAGGAGAATGAAAGGGGTGTTGTAACCAGAATACTAGGGGGTGGCGGGGGGGAGAGAAACCTTTTTTGGGAGGTGGTAGTGGTAATTAATCACAACAGTTACATATAAAATGAAAAATCCAAAAAAGCCAAATGTCAAAAAAAATAGATTAGTAAGTGCAAAATTTAGTACAAACATATAAAGATTTTAATATAATTATTAGAGTTAAATTTTAATGAATGGGAAATTATATATTATGTTAAAAGGGATAATAGCCCTGGCCAGATAGCTCAGTTGGTTAGAGTGTAATCCCTATATATCAAGGTTACAAGTTTAGCCCTGGTCAGGTCACAAAGAGTCAACCAGTGAATGCATGGATGGGTGAAACAACAAATGGATGTTTTCTCTCTCTCTCTCTCTCTCTCTCTCTCTCTCTCTCTCTCTCTCTCTCTCTCTCTCTCTTTCTTCCTCCCTCCCTTCCTCCCTTCCTCCCTCCCTCTCTTTTTCTTTCTCTCTCCCCTCCTTCCTTTCTTTCTCTAATATTAATAAATAAATAAAAATTTAAAAGGGATAAGAAATATAAACAGTATGCAATGTGATTTCAAACAAGCTAAAACATATTACTAGGAAAAATAGAATTAAATTGTTCAAGTGTATCAACACGCTATCAATGGCTGTTTCTGGGAAGTGAATTACAGATTTTTTCCTTTATTTTCCAGTTTTTAAAATCTACATGTACATTATTTTTGACAACTGAGGGTGGGGTGGGGCAAGAAGATTGGATTGTTTTCCTTCTTTTAACCTCTTTTTAACCCAGGAGTATTAGTAAAATATATATTTTTAAATCTCTCCATAAACTTCCTGGCTGCTTACTATTTAGTGGACAAATTCTAGAAAAACGAAGGGCTCTATCAAGACTAGCACTAAAACGACTGTTTCTGAGTCAGAGACTTTTCATCTGGGTTATTCATTCACTGACCTGTATAGGTATAGCTGGATGGATGTTTTACTTTGTTTGTTTGTTTTTAATGGATGAACATAATGATACCCTAGTGAAAGATTTGGGTTTATAATGTTTACTTGAAGTGAAGACAGTAAATATGGTTTTGTTTTATCATGCTTTACATATTTAATAAAATAATCTGAATTAAAAGACCAATGTATCCCAACTGTGACAACAAAAATAAGTATATTTTCCTTCATTGTTTTCAGGTGCTTAGTAAGCTTTACCAATAGTCTATGATAACATTGGCTTAATTTATAGATAGGAACTAATATTAATAATAGAATTTATAAACACTTTTTTTACACATCTTAAACTGTGAAACAAGCTTGGGGTTTCTTCTCTGTTTTTCAGACATTAGGAGAAAGGGGTTTCTTCTCAATGGAAAAATATATTCTTCTTATCCTAAAGTAAAGAAAAATGTGAATAAGTAAGTACGTTTTCACTCTGGGGAAACGCCCTTTAATCCCAACCCCACTTTAATCTAAATTTGATTTGTTCCCAAATGTACTTCATTTTGTAGAGCAGAATGTAAAGCCACAACCACAGGACCCAAGTAACCGAGAAACCACTCCCATTCTGGGACCTGCCTAGAAGCACAGAATGTCAGACCCCTGGCCAGACCTGCTGCATCCGAATCTGAATTCTATAAGAGACCCATGTGACCTGTAGGCACATTGAAACTTGAGAAGCACTGGGCTAGAATATATATATATATATATATATATATATATATATAATTGATTTTTGATTTTTTTGATTATTGATTGATTTTTTTTTTACAGAGAGGAAGGGAGAGGGATAGAGAGTTAGAAATATCGATGAGAGAAAAACATCCATCAGCTGCCTCCTGCACACCCTCTACTGGGGATGTGCCCACAACCAAGGTGCATGCCATTGACCAGAATCGAACCTAAGACCCTTGAGTCCGCAGGCCGACGCTCTATCCACTGAGCCAAACCAGTTAGGCCAAGACAACTTCTTGTTGTTTGCTCATGCCACAGACTGAGAAGGCAACTGATCAAAAAAAAATAAATGAAACTTGTGAGGATGATGACAGTGAAACTTCTGTTTGCAGTCTCTAACAGAAATGTGTTTTAGAGCTACAAATGGATGATCATAATTTTAAATTTAAATTTTAAATAATGTGCATGAAATATTGGAAAAGTCATAGCTGCAATGATTCTGTTGTTCATGAGAAAGAGGAAAGTAGCCCAAGTGAATAATAATAATAATTTAAAAAAATGATAAGTGAGGACTGATTGGACTATCTAAATGAGAACATTTTATAGAAGTTCCTGGAAATATTGTAACCCATTGAAAAACTCTATTTGAAAGCATTAGTTCCAAAGTGTAAGATGCGTGAAACTTTTCATGATTCATACACTAAAGTCGGTAGGTTCCCTTGCTTTTCCCTCTGTTATCTGCATTCTGTTTAATTCAGCAGTCTCAGGCAGTGGAAAACCATATACTTATGTGGAGGGGGAGGTGTGAGTTAGCAGCAACAACATTCTGAACATATAGTATGCATTCATCACACTCTGCCAATTCACCGTACATAGGTCATTCTCTTGACAAAACATGATTGAGCACTTAGCCTGCCAGGCCCAGGGCCAAGTTCTAGATACACAATGGTGAGTCAGAGACAGTTCCTGTCTTCATGGGCTTCTGATAGTGTATGAATTACTACTGATGAAATTTTGAAAGTTACTTGTATATTTTGTTCATCCATGTTATTTCTGTACCTTGTACTTATCTACTTTTTTTCATTGATAATGAGAAATGTTGAGTTCTTAGTTATTGGTCTGATTCATATCGACCAATTAGTTATGATTTGTATACAGATAGTGGCAGTTCTTACAGCAAGATGCAGCTGGCAACTTACAAATGTGAAGCTAAGAGAGATAACAGCAACAATTACATGTGGTAACATGATCACTATATGGACTTGACATGGGCTGGAGATAGAAGACTGAGGCCTGCTAGGAAGGCAGTCTGGGAGAGTAACAATGAGCAGGAGCCATGAACAAGTCTCTCCTACATTATATGGATGCAATTATGGTCAAAATGAAACATATTTGTAAATCACATGTCCCCAATTGAGGAATTGGGTAATCTATTTTATGTTTTCAAATGAAGGTAATTTTGTTCTTCAAACCAGTCTTACAACATGGCATTTAGAAAATTATTCACCTTGAAAATAAATTGCTTTACAAGTTTGCTTGGAATGATGGATTTACCCACTGTGGGACCTGACAAATTGGGTAGAAAGTTGAAATGAACAGCCCCCAGTGGGCACGTGGCCCAGACTTAGGTTGAATCAACCACTGCTTCATGACACAGATATCTTTGTAGATTTTGAGTGCAGTTGCCTCCCAACTTCTAATCCTGCAATCCCATAGCCCTGGCCTTGTGCCTGTCTAATCACTATGACTGGTTCCACCCTTGTTTTCCAGTGGCTGGATTCTCTGCCGTGGTGGCCCAGTGATTCAGAGTATAGTCTCAGAAGTTGGATGGACACAAAGTTTGTAATTCTGACCTCGGTACCTCCTAGACATGGGGTCTTAGGTAATGCAATGTCTCTATGCCTCAGTTCTCACCTGGAAAATGGAGATTAAACATCTCATCTCATGGGATCATGTGGGTTACAGAACTATATAACACACTGCCATGCCCGGCACATGGTAAATGGTGGCTATTACTACCTATTAAACCCAGGTCTCCATACTGGCTCCTTTTTGCTACATGAATCTCCTATAGCAACAAGAATTTATGTTTATTTGATTTTATTAACTTGTTTCTTAGAGGCATTATTTTCTTTCTACTGATTTCATATTCCAGAGGCTATCTCCCTGGGGACCCTTCTCCTTTGCCCCACTTTTGCTGTCCTCTCACGGTACTCCAGGTCCAAAAGACACCCAGGCTTGGTCACTATTTGTCTCAAAGAGGCAGTAGTGCCTAGTGGTTAAAAAGCTATGGAAGACTTGCTGCCTGGGTTTGAATCTCAACACTTCCACTTACCACCTGAGTGACTCTAGTAAATTACTCAACCTTTCTGTGCCTCAGTTTCTCAGAAATGAATTGTATCTGCATCATATGATTGTTGTAAAGATGAAAAACATTGCCAAAACCGGTTTGGCTCAGTGGATAGAGCTGTTGGCCTGTGTACTGAAAGGTCCCAGGTTTGATTCCTGTCAAAGGCATGTACCTTGGTTGCGGGCACACCCCCAGTAGGGGGCGTGCAAGAGGCAGCTGATCAATGTTTCTCCCTCATCGATGTTTCTAACTCTCTATCCCTCTCTCTTCCTCTCTCTAAAAAATCAATAAAATATATATTTTTAAAAAGACTAATATATGTGAAGAATCTAGAATCATAAGTGCTATATAGCATTTGCTATTATGTATCTTACTTGAGTAACCCCAAGCTTGGCACTTAACCCCTTCTCTCTTCTCACTCTGGGGTAACCTCCTAATTGTAGAGATGTTTTTAAGATTTCTATACCCATTTCATGTCCCTAGACTATCTGGACGCTGCTTGTGCTTCCAGGTCAAGGCCCCTGCCTTCTCCACATCCTGCCACAAATGTTCCTGGCAGACACTGGTTGTGACAGTGAAAAATGAGAAATAATTTTGTCCCAAACTTTATGTCTGTGAGGTGCAGTGCCCTGCCACCCAGCCTGGTGGCCTCTTACATAAAATAGGGTGAAACCAAGGAAGCCAAGCAAAGCGGTTGCCTTATTCTCCCCTACTCTCCTCACCTCCCTCTCCCCACTTCCACTGGTAAGCAAAGATCATCCATCTGGAAGCAAGATTCCTCCCCACCGAGGCTGACTGTACGCTACAGTTTCTTACGTGGCTACACAAAGCAAAGGAAAGAGAAGTACGACTCAGAGCATGAACTTCCGTTGCATACATGGGGTCATTGGTTAGCTGCACTGTTACTGTTTAAATTCCACAATGAGGTAATGTGGCTAACCCAAAAGTAACCAGAGAAAAGCAAGGAAAAAAAAAAAAAAAAGGTTGAATTTTGATTGAGAACGTTGACTAAAGCAACTACCACGGTGTGTAACCCATTCTGTGCCCTCAGGACTTTGGAGGAAGTCGGGGTGTTGGGGTCTTACTTCTCAGCCCTCCGTGCCTTGAATAGTACTTGGCTTGTGGCAGTAAGGTGTTTCTGCTGGGCGGTCCTGGCTTCAAGCCTCCCACGGGGAAATTCCTTCTAATGCTCCAAATCCCTTCCAGGGCCACTGTTAATATTTTCAAAAGCAAGATGGTTATTAGCTTATTCTCTTTTTAGCACAAAGTATTTTTAAAATATTTATGTGGTAATTATTTTTTTTCAGTCACCTGGGTGACAGTTTATATGGTTTGATTAATCAGATCAAAGGTCTTTATTATTTGTTTTATCTTTTACTCCAGTTCATTCATTTCATTATTCCTTACGCAATTAAACCTCTACATTGCTTAATTAGATAATTCAATTTGATCCTTAAGAAGTCGATGAAAACCAAATATGGAAATATAATAAAATGCAGTAAGATAAAAAATATATAATAGTTAAGATATAAATTTCATTCAGTCAACTTTGTCTGATTCTGATTTTATTTTTTAAACTAGTGGCCTGGTGCACAAAATTCGTGTAGGGGGGGGTGTGTCCCTCAGCCAGGCCTGCACCCTCTCCAATCTGGGACCCCTTCGGGGATGTCCGATTGCCGGTTTAAGCCTGATTCCATAGGGCTGCTGGCTCCTAACCACTTACCTGCCTGCCTGCCTGATTGCCCCTAACCACTCTGCCTGCTGACCTGCTTGCCCCCAACTTTCCCCCTTACTGGCCTTTTCACCCCCAACTGGCCCTCTTGCCTGCCTTTTACCCCTCAACTGCCCTCCCTTACAGGCCTGATCACCTATAATTGCCCCCCCCTGCCAACCTGATCACCTCCAATTGCCCCCCCCCCCCCCACTGGCCTGATTGCTCCCAACTGCCTCTCCCTGCTAGCCTACTCACCCCCAACTGCCCCCCTCCCCTCTGGCCTGATCATCCTAACTGCCCTCCCCTCCTGGCCTGATTGCCCCTAACCGCCTCTGCCTCTGCCCCCTCACCATGGCTTTGTCCAGGACATCCAGAAGGTCTCCCGGTCTAATTGGCATATTACCCTTTATTAGTATAGATTAAATCTTTATTGTTGAAAGTATTACATATGTCCCCCTTTTTTATCCATTGACTCCCATTACATATATCCCCCATTTTTAGCCATTGACTCCTTCTAGCCAGCCTGTCCCTGGCCCCAGGCCTTCACCATTGTCTCTGTTTAAGGATTATGCATATATACATACAAATTCTTTGATTGATCACTTCTCACTCTCCCTACCTTCCTTCTTAGATTCTACAGTCTGTGATCTATGCTTCTATGTCTCTGGATCTATTTTATTCATCAGTTTATGTTGTTCATTAGATTCAACGTATGAGTGAGGTCATGTGATACTTGTATTTTTCAGATGGGCTTATTTTGCTTTGCATTATACACTCCAGGTCCCTCCATGCAGTCTCAGAGGGTAAGAGATCTTTTCCCCCCACTAGAAACATAAAACACTAGAAAACACTATAGCAAAATATTTGGAATGTGCTGCCTACACATTGGCACAAGGCAGATTAGAGACTAAAATACTGATACCATTCAATAAGTATTGGTTTAGTAATGATTTGCACTGGGCTTTTCTCCATATCCTAAAGACAATTAGTTCGTTTTCAGATTCATTCAACACAAATTTGGTGAAAAATCTGTGTAGAAATCTGTGACCCAAGTCAAGTAAGGTAGTGAATTCAAGTTAGTGCTCAAGTTGTTTTTCCCATTTTGGAAGCTGTAAATTTCAATGACATACATTTTCTACAGGTCCAAAGATGCCCACTGAAATCTGATCCCTTGCTAAAGGATTTCATACCATGTAATGATTAGGGGCACAGCTTTTGAGTTGGTAGGAGATCTGGGTTTTAGTCTCTGCTTCACCACCTACCAGTTATATGACTTTGGGCAAGTTATTTAACCTAGAATGTCTCATCTATGAAATGGGGATGATAATAACTACCTTAGAAAATTATAACAAGATTGTGATAAAATGGAGGAAAAGGGCCATACACTTAATAAATAGAGCTATTTATTTGGAAAGGGACTATAAGTATGGACTTGGATTCCATTTCTAGAGGTGCTGAGAGCCAATTCCAGCATGTAATAATTAGGAATTATTCACCAAAAGGTTGGTGAAGCTTGGGGAGCTCAACAGGGTTGAGTCATATGTAGTTTACATATTGGAAATGGCTAACTGGCACTTCCCCCAAACCTGAATAGGATTGTTAGTTGCCAGACAGCTCAGGGCATTTTATTGCCTCGTGTTGGCCAAACACCTGAAAAGCGGTAGGCTATTCCCCAAACTGATAATGCTTCTAAACCCTTTGATACCTTACTCTTTGAAGTGTATATTTCCACATTGTCTTGGATAAATTGTGTTTAATAAAAGCATGGGGTCCTGAGACAAAGAGAGTCTTCAGTTCCCTTTAGCTGCAGCTCCTCTGACCCCCAATGCCTTTCAAAACTATCTTTCATCCTTGGGCTCCTTAATAATCTACGCACAGCCCCTTTCTCCAGAACGCTGAACCCTTTGTAAGGCTGGGAAAAGAACCCTGGCATTATGGTGCCCTAACGAAGGACACCAACATAGAGGCATCGTGATCGAGCTAATTCTCTGAGCTGAATGACAGTGCTTGTTTCTCCCTCTCCTGAAGCTATCTGTCAAGATTAGTTTCTTCCTTCTTCTTCAAAAACTTTCAAGGAAAACTCCACAATCTCCTTCTGCCAAGACTTATAAGGTTTAAGCTGTTGCTTATATCTAACCTAAACCTTCCCCCACCATTCAAACCAGATTCCTCTTATTCCATCTCATCTAGAGATAGATAAGGGCTTCTCACCATCCTCTGGATAGTAAACTCTCAGATCAAGGAGCCCACAAACAATGATTAAATACCCACTGTGCAAGGCACCCCATAAGAGACCAAGAAAACAGATTTAGATTTGTTCTGCACTGTGGGAAGGTCAGGTAAATGGGACACCGTTTAAAATCAGTTGGTAGACTATGTAATAAAACCATGGCAAATTAGATAGAAGACTTGCACTAGTCTGATTTAGTTGAGGTCTTTCAGATGCAATCACAAGCATAGCTGGAAGTTTACAACTAAATAGGAAAAAAATACTTGAAATGTAGATGTTCAGAAATGCATGAAAAACAAACAAACCCTAGAAGGATAATGTGTGCATAAGTATGTTCTGTACTCAAGGGTAGAGGCTGCTGGAAAAAAAATAGCATTACTTTGACCTGATGTGATGTTTGGATGAAGAGGTTACAAAAGATGATATATTCTACTGGAGAAAGATGATATATTCATCTGGAAAGAAGCTCGGATACCCTTGGAAGCAGCTGCCTCCTTAAAGAGAAATCCAGCTCCCTCAGCTCTGGCCAAGGTCATGGCCACGCACATTCTAGGAGGAAGGAACACAAAGGGGGAGCAGTGCCGGAGACCTGTGTTGGCAGCTGGACCCGAAAAGGGAAAGGGCAGCAGGCACAAGAGTGAAGCTAAGAGAAAGGAATTAATTTTTTTCTCGAAACTCAGACTCTAGCAGACATTCTTGTTTCTTCTACTCAGAGACCTTTTTTCAGTTATGTGTTTTTTTAAATCCCCACCTGAGGATATATTTATTGATGAGAGAGAGAGAGAGAGAGAGAGAGAAAGAGAGAGAGAAACATCCATGTGAAAGAAACTTCGGTTTCCTCCCCTACTCACCCTAACCTGAGATTGAACTGCAACCTTTTGTTGTATGGAATGACATGTCAATCAATGGAGTCACATAGATAGGGCTTAGATGTGTTTTTAAAGTTACTAAACCACGCCTTTATGCTGGAAAGTACAGCCAATGGGGCCTGGTCTGGTCTTTCAGGGAAGTAAAGCTCACCCTTTAAAAATATTTGTGTTCTCTTCAGCTGCCTCTGGGCTGTGCATAATGCACATCAGAGCCTGAAAAGCCAGTTTAGAGCAATCTAATCTATGCCTCCTTTGTGTAAAGGCGGTCAGATATGATCAGAGAAAGAAAAAGGTAAGTGATTTAAATTTATGTTTGTTGGCTTCCAGGTTCTGTAATTATCTTGACATGCCTTTGGGGTTCAGTAAATTCCTTGCATATTGTAGGTAAATGAAACATTTTTGTTGAATGAGTGAAAAAATAACAAACATATCCACTCTCCCTGAGCAACATGTTACATTTTCTCAGTTGGTACTAATCATAATAAATAAACCAGACTCTAAATTAAGCTTCCGTGCATTAGCCATTAGCACAAAGAGACACAGATGAATGGATTTGTTAGGACACTATTAAAAGTCATTGGGGAAGGAAATGAGGAAGAGAAAACTAGGAAGCTTCATTAATCAAATTTATCATGACTACTTACTAAAGTTCTACAGGTCTTAGCCAGAAAAATACAAAAGCCCTTGCAATGTGGAAACATTAAATTAGAATATTAGTTTTATCTCGGCAAAGTCCTCTGTAGAATTTCTCAGAAACATATAAATCATTTAAAGATAAGTCATTCCATAATGCATTCCTCCCAAACTTACCTCTTCTTTTTAAAAAGTTGTAAGGAGGGGGAAATCTTCAGGGGATCGCTAAAAATATGTGAGTGATGATGTCTGCTAAATTCTCATATGTCCAGAAATTTCCATAAGTTGCCCCAAATTCCATTTCACCTGACAGAAGAGCTGATCAGAAAATTGCATTTCTTTTTTCTTTTTTCTTTTTTTTTCCAGGACGCACAGAACCTCCCTGGGGGTCCTGGCCCTGTTCTCACCTGTCAGGAATGTGTGTGATGAAACCTCCGTTCTGAATCTAAACTGGGGCTGAAACAGGAGAAATGTGCCAACTTTTGTTTTGGTGTTGGTTTTGGTGTGTGTGTGTGTGTGTGTGTGTGTGTGTGTATTTTTTTGCTAACATACCGTAGTCATTTTTTTTTTTTTCTTAATTTTTATTGTTCATATTAATACAAATGTCCCTTCCCACCCCACCCTCTGCCCTTTCCCCACCCCCCATTGTCCTCATCCATAGGTGCACAGTTTATGTTCAGTCTCTTCCCACATCCCCTTCTCCCCTTTTCCCCAAGAATCATCAGTTCACTCCCCTTCCATACCTCTGATTCTATTATATTCAAC